CATGTGAACAACAAACAAGAAATGGAAATGTTGTCATGCTCGCTAGGCGAGGAAGTAGCGAATGCTCGCTAGGCAAAGGCGTAGCGAGTATCCAGCGAACAATTCCAGTGGCAAAAGGACCAGCATTTGCTGCAGCGAAGCTCTAGAGAACACTCCCAGACTTGGACAAAATCAAAAAGATTATGCACTCGCTAGGCGAAGCTCGCAGCGAAGGAATTGCTCGCCTAGCGAACATCTGGAAATGTCTCAAGGTGTTTTGACTGATCAGTGGCATATCACGTGCCAATTTAGTGGACCACGCAGGGTGGCTACCCTAGGGTACTCGAGTGCCTAGGGACGCTTCGACTCTCGTGTTGAGGGTATAAGTAGGCAGGCCCCTGCCTATTTACCATTTTTCGCTTTCTGCTCTCTTCCATACGTGACGATTGAATTGTTCGCGCCTGTTTTCCAAGACCGCCACAACCTCCGCCGCGTACTCCACTGTTACCTTTAATCTAATAAGTTCCCTTTTCTCTGTCTTTTCTTTGTTTTACTCTTTAAAGCTGGTGTGGGGCGTGATGAATGCCCCGAGGAGGGAGAGGGCCCTCCGCCGCATTTGGTGGCGGCTTTTCCAGGTTTAGGATGAGGACACCGAAGACGAGTGAGGTGGGAGTATGAACACCCCGGGGACAGGTATTAGTTTTAGATGAATTCCCCGGGGAGGCATAATAGGATTAGGTGAATGTCCCGGGGACGTACGGTAGGGTCAGATGCATGACCCGGGGACAATGAGGGATGTTGGATGGATCCCTCAAGGAGGGACGCCCGGGAGGCCTTTGCTGCCGTCACGAGTGTTGTCCCTGTCGCCCTTTCACTTGGCCTGCGGTGGAAGCGTGAATTTAATCTTGGACATCAAATTCACCATTTCCTTTTGCTTTTCAGGTGAATATGACTTCGTGGGTCTTAGGGACCATGGACATCGATGTAGATCCCAAAGCTCCGGCCGCTGAAGAACGAGCCCCGCCGGTTGAGGAATGGGTGGCTGAGGAGCCATTGAGTACACTCTCGTATTTGTCGACGACCAGGCCGGCGCCTTCGCGACCGTCGAGGATAAGAGTGCTGATACCCCCTATAAGTTGGAAGGTATATCGGGCTCGCGAGCATCACCGTATCTGCTTGACATATGGAAGAATGCGGTTTCTCATGTACGAGTTCTGTTTTCGGGAGGTCGGTCTCAGATTGGCCTTCACGGATTTCCAGTTGGGGGTCCTAGATTCGTTGAGGTTAGCTCCCTCACAAATACACTCCAACGCAACTGCTTTCATCCGAGCGTACGAGCTCGTCTGCCAGCACCTGGAGGTCGGGGCCACCTTGTCACTTTTCTTCCGCCTCTTCCATCTGCAGAGGCAGACGGTCGATGGTCGACATGGCTGGGTTTCGCTGAAGCAACCGAGGAAGCTCTTTCGGACCTATCTGGATTCTGTCCGGGATTTCAAGGCGCATTTTTTTGTCGTCCGACCAGTGTCTTACGAGGCGTGTGCCTCATTGTTTTGGCAAGAAGAACAAGTAGTGGATAGGCAGCGAGAGGCCATTATGGTGTCGAGGGTGCCCCTGGAGTGGACGGAGGAGCACTTTACGAAGGGCACAAACCATTATATAGTGCGGGTGGGGACCAACTTGCCCTCGTCTAACCTGGTGACGCCCGACGGCAAGTATATCCGCGACAGCCATGGGCGCATTTGCCAGCGAAAAAGGTTGATCAACACAAAAGCTCTGCTCGAGTGCTCGCCTGACGAGGAGGCCATCTGTTATCTAGGTGGGGGTCGACTTCTGCTCTTCGACTTTGTAGTTTTTCCATTTGTTAGCTGACTTCTTTCTTTTGTATTTTGCAGGGAACATGTCTTCTGTCGAGGAGAGGGTGAGGAAGCTGACGGCCTTGAGAGCCGCGACTAAAGATGGAAGAGAAGGGTCGCCCAGGTGGTCGAGCAAGCCGTAGCGGACCAGGGTGGAAGGGGCTCTTCGTCTCCCCAGAGCAGCCATTCCCCGACGTGTCAAGGGGCAGCCAAGCGGGCCAAGCTTCAACAGTCTGGGGGAATCGTCGACCTAACGGAAGGGTTAGATGAGGAAGGATTTCTTATCCCACCGTGCCATCAAAAGCCCGGGTACTTTCATGGCGCAAGATCTCCAGCTGTGCCGGTCGCAGAGGCGAAAGTGATCCTTGGTTTTGACCGGGTTGTTCGGAGGCAAGTGTTGACAGAGGATCTGGACGCTATGATGCAGGTCTTCTCGACGGCCTTAGTCTTAAGTGACGAGGGTTACTCCTCTACCGAGCTGGCCAAGCTGCAGAGTGATCTCGCCTTTGCGCAGTCGAGGATGAACAAGCTGGTCGGGGAGCTGGAGCGGAGTCGGGAAGACATTGTCGTGCAGCGCAAGAGGGGGGAAGATGCCGAAGGGGAGCTGAAAGCTACGGAGGAGGAGTTGCAGACGCTGAAGGCCCGTGTAGGGGAGCTGGAGGACTCGCTCCGTCCTGCTGACGACGAGACAGACGAGGATAGGCTTCTGGCCACCCGCGCGGAACTGCTGGGGAGGATTCGGATGCTGGAGCATGACTGCCTGAGGGTGGTTGAGGTCGGGTTCTCTGGCGCAGTAGACCAACTCAGGATGGTGAACCCCGAGGTCGTCCTGGTCATTGACGGGATCGGGCCCTTCCACCAGATCATCGATGGACGGATGGCCACCCCTGGTCATGGAGATGTCGATGATGGCGCCCATGCCGACGAGCGCGAGGTGGATGGTTTAGAGGATGTGTAGATGTTCCCTGGGCCTGCGTGCTCGTAGTTTCTGGGCCTGCGTGGCAATATTTTGCTATTTTCTTCTAATTGTTTTTGTCGGGCCTGCGTGCCCTTTTTGTGTTTGTAATTTAACTACTGGGTTGGTGCCCGCTTTTGATAATATAATATTTTTGCTTAAGTGTGCGGTCGTTTATGTTTGCATAGTGGTATGCTCATTTTTATTTCTGCACGTTTGTATGCTTGAAATGTATGCTTACTATGTTGTCTTGTATGTTTGGGAGTATAGCTCGACAATATTTGAGTCTGGTAGTGTAGGGAACTGGTCGGTTGACCGGTGTGGTTACTTGGTCGGTTAAGTGGGGGTGTTATCCCCGCGGCGTGAACGTTCCATCGCGAGCTGGATGTTCTGTCGAGCAAGGTACTGTGGCGGAGACTCTCGATTGAGGGGTCCTTCGTCGAGTAGAGCCTTCTGCCCGAGCACACAAAGATAGAGGCTTGTTATCTCGTTGATCTCGAGGAGACGCGATCGTACTGTGTCGTGCTCCTGTGGCTGCGACGCATGTCGTCGCGGTCAATGTTTAACTGTAGTATTTTTTAGCTTCTCAGCGTTCCATGGTCGAGCTATCTGGTCCCCGTGTAGGTTTTCGAGGTAGTAGGCCTCGTGCTCCATCTTGTCCCAAACACGATAGGGGCCTTCCCAATTCGCTGCAAGTTTTCCCTTGTGTGAGTCCTTCTGGTTTCTTCCTAAGACCAGGTCGCCGACCTGGAATTCACGCTTCAGGACTTTGCTGTTGTAGCGAAGGGTGATTTTTTGTTTTAACATGGCTTTACAGAGAGCTACCCCCGATCGGATCTCCTCGACATCGAGCTCCTCCCGGAGAGCCTCGTCGTTGGTCGTGGGTTCGATTCCCACAGACGGTGCCACTGATCTGACCTGATCAGAAGGAAGTCAGTGACCTGCCACGCGTCGTAAGTCTGCTGCCTGTTCACCGGAGGTAGGGAAGAGAAAGAGGTGTACCTGCAAGACACTCCGATGCCAAAGTGAGTAATGGACCAGAGTGAGAGTAAATACAGAAAAGAGGTTGAGAATAAAATAACTGACCCTCTTGTGAAAGAAGGTATTTATAGTGAGACGCCAGCGCAGGGCCAACAGTCACTTGGATTGGGCTGGATTGCCAGGCCCAACCCAAGGGATTGCTAGGGCTTACGTGGCGTGGTGAAGACCAGCACATGGCCTCCACCCTTGTTCAACCGTCTCGTGATCTTTGGAAGGTGGGTTGACCAGCTCTTTCGAAGGTGGGTAGTTGGCTAATAGCGTGTCCCTGCAGAGGGGAGCACGTGGAGAACGTGTGGAGGACACGTTGTTCTGCCCGATGGAGGAGATGTTCTGCCCGGCGGGGCAGTGTCTGATCGATGGGAGCTTTTGTGCTCGTCATTGGCAATTTGGGCCTGTTTCGAGCCTTCCCCGCATATCGTTGGGCTGAGCCTGACCGGTCAAGCCTGGACTCAGCCCAAAATAATTTTCATTTAAAATAACACAATAGTTTTTGTGACGACAATAAAAAATTGACGGTGAAACTAAATTTTATGGCAACAATTTACTAACGGTTGGAAATGTTAAACTAAATTAATTCTTTTTACATATACATTTTTCTAGATGTATATTATATTTAAATAAATTTTAGTTTTGACATATATAACATTACAATCCAATAATTTTGATAAAATAATATCTTTTATAATGATTGATACTATTCCAATTTTATATAAATGATGTATGTTAAGATAAAATTTTATCTATTTTTCAATTAAAAAATAAATATTATTATAAAAATATTAAGATTATAAATACAATATCAATTAAGTGAATGATTATTAATGATTTACATTCATGAATTAAAAAAAAAAATCCTAAATTAACAAAGTAAAGTTTTGATTTTTATTTTGTTAACATTTGTTTTAAAGAGAGAAAAACTTGTAGTTTGTAGCACTCATTTATTAACTTTTAATTAACATTTATTTTTTCCTTCATCCATAAAAATCATAAACATGAATCTTCAAATTTTCCTTCATTCATTCAAATTATTGAGATAATATTTTAAGAATGATTATTTAATCTTAGATACATACATATAAAAGGGGAAAGGATATCAAACAAATATATCCTTTGCCAAGCTATACATGAATTTCAATGCCATTTATTGTGAACTCAGAGTTGGCAAAATGAATCTATGCATTGGAGGTAAAGTTGAAGTTAAAACATCCGGTTTGTCGTCCAAAGAGCAAAGAGCTAAAACCCAATCTAGAGGCAGCCAAATCAAACTGCACAAGATTATTCTCCAACTGATACCCACCAAGCACAATCGAAGTCCTCAAATTCTCTCCACCTTTCACAAATCCAAGACACAAAACATCATCATTTATATTCACCATCGAATTCGCACCAAATATCCTCCAAACAGTATTCTCATTCTGCAAAAACAGCTCAATAGTAGGAACAGCCGCACCCAATCGCGTCGCACCCACGCTATCAGAACTGAAACAAAATTCAAAAGGCGCAAACGAGCCCACCCTCTTTATGTTTCTTGCAATAGACGCTTTCACAAAAGCATCTGTAACCGCTTTATAAATAGAAGCTTCTAGAACCGCGTAAGGGTCCATCGTACTTATCTTTGTTCCACCAACACCGTTCCTGTCTATAGATAACAAACTCGTGTTAACTGGAACCACTTTTTCATCTATTTTTATTGTTTTCACGCCGATGAAATACTCAGCTGAAGCCTCTCCTTGTGAGAAAGCCGAAGCTGTGCTAACCGGGTTGATTAATAGCGGCGTGTAGGCGAGAGATTTTGAATCTAATACAATACTAGGGAGAAAACCGTAAGGACCATCCCCGAATATAACGACCCCGCTTGAAGACGAAACGCAAATGGCAAATTTTTTATCAAAGCTAAAAGCAGAAGCTAGTTGAGATGGTAAAGCGATTTTGGTTCTTCCGAGACCAGCCATACCAGAAGCACCATCTGCGAGTCCTTTAAGTAAGAAAGTTGGTGCGCATGAGAATAGAAAGCGTGAAACGGAGACGGTTTGTCCTGGGTTGAAGCCGTTGGTGGATTGGATTGATAAAACGTCTTCGGCGAGTTCGCCGCTGGTGGCGGTGTGGGTGACGGTGTTGTCGGGAAGTAGACCGCATGTGTTGTTGTTGCAGCCGGGTTTAGGTGATGAGAAGCAATCGCCGCAGCCGTTTGCTTTGGCGAGGGAGCATTGGGCGGAGCGGCAGCGTGCGGGGCGGTATGTGGAGGAAGTGTATTTGTTTTCACAGTCGACCCAGAGGAACTGGCCGCCGAGATCGACGACGAGGTTTAGTGGGACTAGTGGGGTTCTTTGGTTGATTTGAGCTGTGTATTGGAGAGCTTTTGCGCTATCTTTGTTGACAGGGAGAACAAGGGCTTTAGGTCTGAAAGATTGCTGAGAGAAAGTTGGTGAAATGAAGAAAAGTAAGAGGAGGAGGGTAATGAAGTGTTGGAAATTTGAATAAGCCATGGGTATAGATGAGTAGAGATGATGTGTTGAGTTGGAGAGGATGTTGCAGAGGCACCTCTATTTATGCAGTTTGAGTTGCCAATTTGGATTTGATTCATTAAAGTTTTGGCGCTAAAGTCAAAAACAAGTTGAGATGAGATGTTAAGAAATGTCAAATATGATTGCCACGTTTCTGTGTACTACCGCGTGATGTTGCTATGTTGTTTATCTGGATATCACATTGATTTCTTTGTACTATCTAACACGACTGCCCGATGTACTGTGTTGACTACGGGAAATAAAATAAATATTGATATTATTAAGTCTTGAAAGTCGTTGATCTGATGTGTCTGTAAATCATACCGCAGCTCTTAAATATTGATATTATTAAGTTGGACAAAAACTTAGGTTTCAAATTATTGGACAACAACTTAATATCCAAATTCATCCATAAGTTCTGTAAATGAATTTATAAAAATTATTCTTATAATTTTGTGGACTATGTTAATTTACTTTGTAAAAAACAAATTAATTATGATTTTAATGAAATTTATAAATAAGTTTATTTATTAGTTATGTGATCTTTTCAATTAAATGCAGAATATTTGAAATCTAATTGATGTGGATAAAAGTGTGAATTTTAATCGTTAATCTATAATAGATAGAAATTTGGGTTATATATATTACATAAGTGACGGCTCTACCGTCTACTCTATTAAAAGTCGTCAACGAGAGTGTGTGATAGAGAAGAAGATCTGATTCCTCAAGAGCGGTAATTCTTATTCTCAAATTATATCTACAACAAATAAGTAATATTGATGTTTTAATTTCATATAATTAATTAGTGGATTTTTCGCTTATATTTGGTATCAGAACTCAGATGGTATGACTTAGAACTCAAATGATTATCATTAATATGTGATTATGAATTTAAGGTTCGAATTATTTTGATCCAATCTTAAACTATTGCTGAAATCAATTTTCAATCTATGTGTATTGTTCACGCGATATCTAATTCAACAACTTAATTTTTTTTCGACTCTATTTTTGCGATTGTGAAAATTAAGGTATTGGTATTTTAAAATTTTATTTTATGAAATCAATTTGTGAAATTAAAGTTGAAGTTGAAATTAAAATTGAAATTGAATTTGTGAAATCAATTTTAATGTGATGTATTGAACGTGATGCATTGTGTAATATTATAAAAATTAGTCACAAATTTGTGTCTATGCATGAAGTATGTTTTTGGGTAGAATATGATTTTGAACGCACGTTTGTTTGAAAACTGTCATAAAAATTAAAAATTGAAAAAAGAAAAAAAAAATTAAAAATAATAATAAATTTAAGTTGAAATAATTAAAAAAAATAAAAAAAGAAAGTTAAAAAATAATATTAAGAATAATATGATTAAAAATATTTTAATTAACAATATATTTTTTCTCGTATATAAATATTAATTTTCTTTTGGCAATATTTAAAAAATATTTGAATCAATAATAAAGTTGTTCTCGTATATAAAAATATTTGAATCAAAATATTGTTTTTGTTTTGACAATATTTATAAAAATATTTGAATCAATAATAAATTTATTCTGGTTTATAACAATAGTAGTTTCTCCCTTGTATAAAAATATTTTAATTAAGAATGTATGTTTTCCTATATAAATATCAAATTTATTTTGATAATCTTTATAAAAATATTTGAATCAATAGTAAAGTTGTTTCCGTATATAAAAATATTTGAATCAATAATAAAATTGTTACCGTTTATAACAATAATTGAATTAATAGTTTAATTTTTTCTATTTCAAAATATTTCCACGATATGAAAAAACAAATATATTAATATTTTATTGACTCATTAAATATTTTGTTCACTAGTTGTCAATATATAATATGTTGTATAGATAATATATTCAATTTAATTTTGTATTAGACTAATTTGATAAAAAAAAGTTGTGATAAACATTAATTTTTAGTAAGTTAAAAGAAAATATTGTTTTCTCTATGTAAACCTTTTTTTGATAAATCTATTTTATTGATAAATAAAATAAAAAAAAAACAATTTTTATGAAAAATTGTTTATAATTAGTGTCATATTAGAAAAACATTGTTTATTGTAAATGATTATCTATCCATTTAAATTTTCACTTTATTGTAAATGATTATCTATCCATTCAAATTTTCAGTGTATCACCGATGTCATATTAATAAGTTTTAAAATTAAGTTTCTGACTATCGGCCAAACATTCCTAACTCTTTCAAGTGGATCTGTTGTAAAGAATCAACTGCTTGTAGTTGTTACCTTGGTATTGTAGCATTTGATTTCAAAACCACAAGGTGTCTTAACAAGAAATTAAAATTTTTGTAGTGTTTGTCTTGTCTAATAAGTTATATTAGACTTCATAATAACCTTTTAAATCATATCATACTCTACCAGAAAAATTATCATTTTAGAAAAATTGTAAGAATTTGAACATGAACTCAACCTCTCTGCAGACATGCAATTTTTTTCATAAATAACTTGTAACCATGTAAACATTTTTGTTTGAATCTTCTAATTCACTTTCTACAAGTAAATGAAAGATAGAGATAGAGTTATACATTTAAAATTAAGTTTTCAAGTAACACAGCTCTCAGAACATAAGAAAATGTGTTCATTAAGAAATCTAACACTTGAACCATACAAATATATGTATTGATTTTTACAGTTATCTGCCATTCAACTAATTCATGTTTCATCCAATGGTTAATGCTACTGAACTAAAACAAAGAAGTCCCTTTTGATTATTTCATTCTCACATGTACACCAATCACCTGCAGAATCAAAATAATGCTTCAAAGTAACCACATTAGAATAATCTGTCACACACATGAGTTGTAGTTCACGATTCTTATATCTCTGGTTTCCAAGAATTTTTCCTAAGAGAAAAAAAATGCAGCATGTAGCAAAAACAAATAGGTGAATATCATGTAGAAGCATGCTTCATCTCAAGGTTTCAAAGTTTTGATGACAACAACAACAAGATTCAAGATCATTTCATCTGTGCAAAAAGCCAGAAGCTTTCAAAAGACCAAGATCAAAGTATTATGAAAGTGATCAACATTCAAGCTTCATGTACATTTGCTCGATCATCTTTCAAGACTTGGACACAAGCTATGGTATATCAAATTCTCTAATTTAATTGATATACAAGTGTTCAAAACTATATAATATTTTTGCATAATGCATTAACATGTTTTAAAACCATTTGGAATTGGTATAACACTTTTAAATTAAGAATTTTTCAAAGTTTTTACAGTGTTAACCGATTAACCATATAGGTTAATCGATTAACGCCCTAAAATTTTAAATTCTTTGGGCCAACGTTACAGTGTTAACCGATTAACCTATATGGTTAACCGATTAACACTGAACGTTTTCTGAAAAATTATTTCATTTCAAGTTCAAAAATTATTTGAATGTTATACCTTTCCATATGTTAACTGATACTAAAATATACCCTTCTGAAAAGGTGTTTTGGATGATATAAATTCTGAAAATTTCAGATTAACAATAACCTCCAACAAATTTCAAAAACAATCATTGAATCCTATTCACTACTTTTCAAATAATTTCAAATACATTCAAAAGTGTTCATACTTGCATAACCTTTCACATTCATTTGTTTGAACACTTGTATTGAGATTAAGTTGTGAATTCAGATTAAAGGAGAAGATTAATCTTAGCATTGATATTACTATTGTACTCTCAAATTACAAAAAGAATTACAGAATAGTCTGTTGTGACTTGTGATCCAGGATTGTTGGACACAAGGGTTAGTGTTTTGCAAGAGGATTGTTCTTGCACACTAGTTTGTTTTGTTGTTAGATTGTAGGCCTCACCGGTTGATGGTGTGATAGGTTGTACTTTCTAAAACAATAGTGAAAACTCTCTTTCATGTGGAAAGGGGAGTGGAGTACCTTCGGATTGTGAAAGGAACCACTATAAATCTTGGTGTCTACTTTCTTTATGCTTTCTACTGCATTCATCACCAAGAACATAACCAAAGAAAAATTAAAGAACACCAAAAATCCAAAAAATTTTCCATAAGCCTAATTCACCCCCCCCCCCCCCCCTCTTAGGCATACTCTGATCTTACAATTGGCGTCAGAGCAGGTTAAGGTAACCTGTTCCTAACGATTCAGTATGGCTTCCGCAAGTACCAACCCGGTTTTCAAAGATGGTGGAAGTAGTAACAAGCCACCACTCTTTTCTGGAGAGTATTTCGATTTTTGGAAAATCCGTATGAAAGCACATCTTGAGGCTCAAGGAGACGGTATATGGGAAACCGCAGAAACTGGTCTGCATGTTTCTATGAGCGTCATAAATAACGTAGGCACTCCAAAGATAAAATCCTCATATGATGAAGATGACAAGAAGAGAATTTTGAATGAGAAGAAAGCAATCAACATACTTCAAAGCGCTCTTAGTATGGACAAATTCTTCCGTATATCACAGTGTAAATCAGCAAAGGAAATTTGGGACACCTTAGTAGAAACGCATGAAGGGACAGCTGAAGTAAAAAGATCAAGACTTAATACTTTAAGTCAAGAATATGAAATGTTCCGTATGCAGCCTGGTGAATCCATTGTTGCCTTACAAAAGAGATTCGTTCATCTAACTAATCATCTGATTGCTCTCGGGAAGACCTTCACCAATGATGATCTCAACTTGAAAGTTCTAAGATCCTTAACAAGAGAATGGCAACCGAAGGTGACCACCATTTCGGAAAAGAAGAGTCTTTCAACGATGACATCCGCTTCCTTATTTGGCAAACTTCAAGAGCATGAACTAGAACTTGGAATGAGAAGCATGAAAGTCAAGACAAGAAGTCCAAAGGAATTGCCTTGAAGATTGACACAAAGGATGACAAAAATGACGAATCTTCCGAAGATGAAAATTTCATGCTTCTAGTAAAGAAGCTTGGTAAGTTTTTTTAATAATAATAAGAATTCCTCTTTTTCTAAAAAGAATAAAC